TAAGAGCTAGTTAGAAACATGCCTGTGATATCTGCTGAGCTTTCATAATAAGTCTACATGTCATGACTTGAGAGCTGTCTGGCAGGACAGAGAAAAATCCATTTACACTTTGTTGAGAGTACATTTGTACATGTATGTATACACATACAGTAAACGGATCTTTTTCTTTCTTTCTTTACCAGTGATTGCAGTAATCTGTGTTGTCAAATTTAATTTTTGAGATACTAAGCACTTCTCAAGGGACTCAGCCATTTATTCTGGGGAAGGGAGACTGTGTTCTTGGCTGTACATTGGACAGTTATGTCATGTTAGGCATAATCATGACCGTGTTATTGTCTTTGCTTGGAAATTAAGCATAGCATTGAGTTGGATATCAAGTTGACAAGGAGTTGATTTGTGGTTAATCCTGATTGCAAATATGATTGGATATGGAATCAACTCAAAGAGATACCTGGAGTAGAAAGCAGGGGCTAGAAGGATAGAATCCTAGAAGGATTAATTGAAAAGGTGTGTTGGTTTGAATAAGAATGACCCCATATATTCATATATTTAAATGCTTAGGCAGTGGCACTATTTCAAAGGATTAGGAGATATGACCTTGTTGGAGAAACTGTGTCACTGAGTGAGAGTTTTGAGGTTTAAAAAGCCCAAGCCAGGGACTATGGAGAAGGTTTAGCAGTTAAGAGCACTGATTACTCTTCTAGAGATCGTGAGTTCAATACATGGTGGCTCATAGCTACCTATAACAGGATCCAATGCCCTCTTCTGGCATGCAGGTGTATATGCAGATAGAGCACTCATATACATAAAATACATACACAAATAAAGAAGCCCAAGCCAGGCCAAGTGACTCTCTTCTTCCTGTTGCCTGCAGATCCAGATGTAGAACTCTCAGCTCCATCTCCAGCAGCATGTCTGTCTGTATGTATGCTTTAGGCCATGTTCATAATGAACTAAAAATCTGAAACTGTAAGCTACCACCATTAAATGCTTCCCCTTATAAGAGTTGCCATGGCCATGGTGTCTCTTCACTGACTAAAGCAGAGAGCTGGCACCTTCCCCAGAATAGGCTGTACCTTCCTCTAGCAGCCCAAATAGAAAAATGTCTGAGTAAAAGGCACGGTTGCCTTTGCCCATCAGCCTTTGCTCTCTGCTAAGAAGTTCATCTTCTCTTGCTGCCACCATCCTTCAGTGATACAACAAGCCAGTTTATTTGGCCTTCCACGATAAACTCAAGACTAGGAGCCCTTTGGGAATCCTCCAGACTTCTAAACCATGCTGTAACTGTAAAGGAATCTAAACTCACAGACTGAGCAGCTACGGGGTTCTACGCCTCTGCAATGTTCAGATGGCAGTTGTTGAACTATCCAGCCTTTATCATGGAAGCCAAACTAACAAATTCCCTTAGTGCTACATATTCTTTCTAATCGCTCATTCTTCTAGAGAACACTGGCTAACACAGAATAAAAATTCAAATATAATTAGTATGAAATGCTCTGGAGAAATCGCATCAGGAAAAAAATTTGTAACAGAGTAAGTACAAAGGCCTTAGGAGGCAATACTTGAGATGTAATATTTTCTAAGTATGTTTTCCCTAATACTTTAGGCTCCTCAAATAGTTTTATTTGAAGTTGTCTACTCCCCACCCACCATGTGGCTGCATAGAAGCTTTCCCTCTTCTCCATGTCCTTCCTCTAGGCAGCTGCAGAGATTCACAATTTTCCTGTCCTACAATTCTTATTTTAAACTCTAATAAGATTGGCCTCACACTTCTTCTGAGTCCTTTCTTAAATTACTTTATTAACAAGACTAAGATCTTTGATAAAGGACCCATTTCCCCAGTAACACTGGCACCAACATTTTCAGTAACAGATATATGCATGTATTTGGCTTCTTCCCAAAATAGTTCTTGTCTAGCAAGAACTATCCTTAGGCAGACATGGTCTCTCTCTCTCTCTCTCTCTCTCTCTCTCTCTCTCTCTCTCTCTCTCTCTCTCTAATCTACCACATTTTTCTTTCATAAGACAAAACATATATAGATAACCATCTGTGAGTTCCATTCTAGGCTAGTCATTACTGTGGGTATGAAGTAATTCTACCTCAGATCAGGAAAGTAATTTATCAGTTAGAATGATAAAAGTTAAGCTTCTAGAACTAAATATGTGCAGATCAATGTACTCTTCATTCTCTATTGTAAGATTTATTTTAATTTTTATTTATGTATATATGTATGTTTGTATATACACATATGAGTCCAGGTGCCCATGGGAAACAGAAGAAGGATTTTGATCCATTAGAACTATAGTTAAAGGTAGTTGAAAGCCACCTGACATGGTTACTGGAAACCAAACTTGGGTCCTCTGCAAGAGCAGTAGGCACTTAGAACCTCTCAGACATCTCTTCAAGCCAAGAATTTTAGCCATTTTGAAAAAAATCCCCCAGCATCCACTGGGGATGAAAAGCATTGATATTGCTTGTAGGAACTCAGTAGACAATGGTACCTGGACACCACCATGACAGCTATAAGACAGAGAAAGAAAGAAAGAAAGAAAGAAAGAAAGAAAGAAAGAAAGAAAGAAAGAAAGAAAGAAAGAGACAGAGGGAGGGAGGGAGGGAGGGAGGGAGGGAGGGAGGGAGGGAGGAAGGGAGAAAGGAAGAGAGAGAGAGAGAGAGAGAGAGAGAGAGAGAGAGAGAGAGAGAGAGAGAGAGAGAAAGGAAGGAAGGAAGGAAGGAAGGAAGGAAGGAAGGAAGGAAGGAAGGAAGAAAGGAAGAAAGGAAGGAAGGAAGGAAGGAAGGAAGGAAGGAAGGAAGGAAGGAAGGAAGGAAGGAAGGAAAGAAAGAAAGATAGGTGTTTTAGCCATGTGTGGTGGGACTCACCTGTAACCTCAACACTTGAAAGACAGAGGCAGGGAGCTCAGGGGCTCAAGGTCACCCTTTGCCATACATATATCAAAATCAGACCTACCTGGACTGTGTAAGACCCTGTCACAGAAAGAATGTGTTATTAAAGCTCAAAGCAGGCAAGACAAGGGCTGGTGACTGGGCTGGGAGGGTATATGCTCACAGAGAGCTCCCATGCGGTATGGGCTGTGGAGGAGGAGAAATTGGAAAGGATTCCACAGAAAACTCTACACACACATCCTGGTGTTTCAGTGAGGGATAGAGACATGGTCCAGAAACGGAAGTCAGTTTCAAACTAGGAAAGATACTGTAAAGAGCAAATTGAACTGGAGTTTGTTGTTCATTGTATTGACAATGAGAAGATTTTTTTGGAAAGAGTGGTGTGATCAGACATTGCTTCGCCAGCATTTCAAGCTAGCATATGAACCCATCCACATAGTAAATGTGTGCTTACAGAGGAATAGCATCTCCTGATTAAGAAATTTGTTTTAATGTGAGCAAACTGCAAGTTTCTCTGGGGGACTAAAAGACACCTTGATGTGAAAGATTTAAAAAATGGGACCTAGAACTTTTAGTAGAAGAAAGAATTGGAACTCTGATGAACTTTAATCAACCAAGGTCAGTAGCTGAGATCTTTGCAAAGCAAAGAAAGGTGTGACACGATGGGTTTATTTGTGAATGTCCTGCTTATTCTCTCACCTTGTATGACATAAGGCAGTGTTGCTTGTATATGACCTTCACTGTGCAGACTTCACAGTCCAACTAGGTAGCAATTCACTGCATAGGAAATTAGTGTCCATTACTTTTTATGTCCAAGGTTATAAAGTTATTGGATTCCCTACTTTTTCCTAGGCTTTAGATAAAGGTTTTCATGGAAAATTGGGAAATATCAGGGTAAATGATCCGAGCATTCCTGCAACATATGAAGGCAACTTATGTCCTTTCATCCGCTCCTAAGACAGTTTCAAAGGCTCCTACCCTCAACTCCAGTTTATATGTTATATGCATTTTGCATACTGCAATTCCCCCAAGGCTACCTTCAGTGTCAACAGATGACTTTAGAAGTTGATCAGCAGAAAGGGGAAAAAACAAACAGCCAGGTATGTAGGCTGCTCTGATCAGATTCCAAATCGCCTTAACTTCTTCATTAACATTAATGCTGAAAGCAAAATACTGAGAAACTTTGGGGAAACCATTGGAGTCTTCAATTTTATCTTCTGCTTTCTGGGATTCCCTCATTTCACATGTCTGCAGTCAGGAAAGCGAAGATCTAGGTGGAGCACAGTCCCTACAATGACTGTATTGAGCCCACCAGTTGCTAGAGGCTTGCCTATAATCAGTTCTCCTCTCTCCCTCTCCCTCTCCCTCTCCCTCTCCCTCTCCCTCTCCCTCTCCCTCCCTCTCCCTCTCCCTCTCTCTCTCTCCTCTCTCTCTCTCTCTCTCTCTCTCTCTCTCTCTCTCTCTCTCTCTCTCTCCATCATTCATCCTTCTTCCCTGTCTCCTTCGCTCCTCTCAGAAGCTTGAGAGGTAGAATGATAAATATATATGCATATATGCATATACATGTTTCTTCTATGTTTATTTGTGAAAAACATCTGGTAAGTGAATTTCCTCTTGCAACTTTTTCTAAGCTTCTGTAACCAAGTTCCCCAAACTGGAATGGGGAAGAGGATGCTCCACCCACACAAATGGTGTTGCATGTTTTCTGTTATAGTTCTGGGTGTTAAAATTGCAAAATGTAAATAGGGCTCATTCTCTCTGAAAGACTTGGAAAGACTCTGCTGTGGGCTTCCCCCCACCCTTACTTCTGGTACTCCTGAGCATTCTCTTAAATCCAAGATACACAGAAATGTGACAAAATAACACTTGGGCATTGAAATACTGTCAGAGAAGCTCACAAAGTAAGTTTCTGTTTAAACTAAGAAAAACTTTGTGTATTGATAATTTAGTCACTGATTACAAGAATATTGCCCTTTCCTTTTAAGCACACATTAAGCATCAACAAATTACTAACATCTAAGTATCTGTGAAACTCCAGAGTACAGATCAGGTTTCTCTATGGAGAACTATATCCTAGAAGAAAAACAGGAGCCAAGGTATTCATGCTGATGATTTTATTGATGCTCTGAACTTGGGGGAAGGAAGGGGCAAGTGGTTTGTTTACTCTTCTGAAAGTTCTCCACCATTCTCTGAAACGAAGAAAAGCACTTTAGTGGTCAGACGGTCCTAAACATAGCAGGTGCCTGATACCTTCACCACCCAGAAGTCTCACTAAAATATTTTATATCGCTCAACATTGTGGCCTGTGCCTGCTACTCTAACACTCAGGATGCTAAGGTGTGAATACCACTCAATATGAGACCAGCTTGGTCTGCATAGGGAATTGCAGACCAGCCTGGGCTACAAAGTGAAGTTCTGTCTCAAAACAAACAACTGCATTAAGAGAGAGAGAGCAGAAAAAGGAAGTGACCAGGAGAAGGGGCAGAGAAGGAAGAAGAAAGAGGAGAGATATTAACAGATAGAGAAAGAGAACTTAAAGACACATTAAACTAATCTATGAGGGAAATTCTGACAGGGCAGAAGGGACACTTCCTGCTGCCAGAAGGAAGAGGGCCTTTCTATGTGTGTATGTGAGTGAGGCAGGGAGAACTATGGCAAGAACATATCTCGGAAAGAATGTTAGAGAAAAAGAGAAGATGTAAAACTCAGATAAATGAGACAAATAGGGGAGTTTAAAGAGAAATTTACTACATGAGAGAGTGTAACTAGTCCTAAGGAATCATTGGAGACCACCTTTTGCTGGTTCTCCTTGCACTGGTCACCAGGACTGCTGTCATACTGACCCTTCTGGTTTCTCTTGCCACCTTTTCCACGTTGTGTTTTCTGGCCACCTTTTGCATTCTGGCCTTTCCCTCCTTTCTGGCCACCGCGGCCACGGCCTCCTTGGCCACTGCTTTCCTGTTGATTTCCACTCTGACGGTCCTGACCTCTCGAGCCCTCACCACCAGAGCCTCGATTGCCACCTCTGCCTTTCCCTTTGTTGCTCTTCTCACTCCCTTTGATGAGGTTCTCAGCCATCTTGCCGTGCTGACTTATTTGTTCTTTAACAAGGCTCTTCATTTCCTTTAGCCCTGCATGGAAATTATTAACTTTTTGGGGAGAGAGAACACATATCCAGAAAAGATCAAAATCAGAGAAAGGATCACCATGAACTTAACAAGATAATCACAGAATCTATGATTGACTTGATTTAGTGAGAAACTGTTTTACTGGGTCAGATGGCATTAGGTAGTGAGCAGGTCCAATACCTAGAAGAAACGGGTCAGAGAGATCTTGCCTAAGAGTGCACAATTACTTAATCAGGAACATTTTGCTTCTCTGTTCCAATTTATACACCTGCCATTATTATTTAGTGCCATCAATTCAGAACTTAAACTTGGCATGTTACATATGAAATCACCCATATTTCATCATATTTCTTGATGCCTGAGAGAAATCATAACATATAGTGGTTGTTACACAACCAGTCTGTTGCTTAAAAGATGACTAGAAAATCAATGTGCCATTCATAATTCCTTTCACACCCTGATGCTAACTCACATTTTCGGCTCTTCCTGTTACTTCAACTATATGGCTTTTTAACCTTCCAAGACTAATGAATATATGTACAGGCTATAATGCAAACATAGATTTAGCTGTGGGTTATGCCATCTCTTATATGAGATCTTTCTTTTCCTCCTATGCTGTGAGATATATAATTTTCTGTGCCCACTTTCTGAACAGTGATCCTCATTGTGCCCAAGCTTCCCCATCTATTAGGTTCTAGGTACCTCAAGAATAGCAGCCATGCCCCTTTTTCTGTTGCACCCTCAGTGATGACAAAAGGGACATGCCTTGGTGATTGTAGATGTGACTTTTTAGTGAATTAGTATTAGAGGTAATAATATAAGTAATCAAAATGTTTCTTTCAGGAAATGATAAATATGTGTGTGACCATAAGGGCAGCCAAGGCAACGAAAGAAAGGCAAAGGAAAACAGTAACCTCATATTGAACATCACAAAGGTGGTTCCAAAGCAAACATTGCTTTTCCTCTTCTTTTTCTTTGTCTTTCTCGTTTTGTTGATATTATTGTTAATTTTGCTTTTTTTCATTTTTTTAACCTTTTGCAAAATTACAATGTGAAACTAAAAACTAAATAGAATAATGGATAGATGAAAACTTTTAAACTTAAGCATAAGTTTTTTAACCTAAAAAGCTAGACAGATTTTATGCTAGGTCAGTTGTTTTATAGGTTTCCCCAGCATGGTCTTGACCCCTTTGCTCATCAGTCCTCCCTTTCTACAACTGAATTCCAGGAGTTCAGCTCATGGACTCCAGACTGACAGCTGGGGAACCAGCATAAGACTGAACCAGGCCCCCTGAACGTGGATGTCAGTTGGGGGGCCTGGACAGTCTATAGGGTCTCTGGCAGTGGAGCCAGTATTTATCCCTAGTACACGAGTGTGCTTTGGGAGCCCATTTCCTATGGAGGGATACACAGGGGAGGACCTAGATCCTGCCCCAAATGATGTAACAGTCTTTGATGATCCCCCAATGGGAGGTCTCAGTCTCCCTGAGGAGTGGATGGGGCACTGGAATGGGTGGATGGTGGGGGATGGGAGAATGGAAGGGAGAGGGAACTGGGATTGGTATGTAAGATTGGTTTTAATTTAAATAAAAAGCAATAAAAAATAAATAAAATATAATGATGGCAAAAAATTATACTAGACCAATAATCCAGAAGTTACTAGACATAATTCAAAATAATTCTCAATAACTTATTTGAAGTTGAAATATCTCACCTGATCCATGGGAATCTTCTTCCTGGGATTCTGTAAAGGAAGAACAGGACATGCGGGCGTGCACACACACACACACACAAGAATGAAATTTAAAATGTAATTACGAGTAGAGAGATTAACAAGTCAGGAAGCATTCTTAAGACAAATGCCTATGTGAGAGCTTGCTTGTTGCCATGGGGTTGAAACCAGAGTCTCCAATGATAGGCAAGTGCTCTACCATTGACCCGAATCTCCTTTACTTTTCACTTAAAAAAAGAGTCCTGCTGAATTTTCTGGGCTAGACTTGAACTCACTATGTAGCCCAGTTAGACATTAGACCTATAAACGGCCCTCTCCCATCTCCTCAGTAAGGAATAAAAGCCTGTGCCATCAGGTTCAGCTCTAAGAACTTTTTTTTAAACAACAAACTTGTTCATTATTTCATTTTATCTGATTCTACCATTTCTTTACTTGGATGCTTACTGATTGAATACCCATAATATGTAAGTAAATTACCTAATATAGTCACTATTCAAATGAGTTATATGTTGTGCTATCCAGTGTTACGTCAACTTGATACAAGCTAGAGTCATATGAGAGGAAAGAACCACAGTTGAAAATATGCCTCCATAAGATCCAGCTATAAGCAGGCAGGCAGGCCCGCAGGGCATTTTCTTACTTAGTGATTGATGGGGTAGGGGCCATCCCATTATGAGTAAGTACACCGCTGGACATGGTGGCATGTGGTGTATAAGAAAGCAGGCTGAGCAAGCCTTAAAGAGAAAGCAGGTAAATCATGGTCCTCCTTGGCCTCCTCATTGCCTCATGTTCCTAAGTTCTTGCCCTACAAGCATTTCTGGCCTAATTTCCGTCTCTGATGGACTGTTATCTAGAAACATAAAAGAGATAAACCCTTTCCTCTCCACATGGCTTTTGGTCAATGTATTTTATCACAGCAATGGAAACTAAGACATATATCAATGGCATCAAAACCCTTGTAAATGGAAGAGATTTGTGCTACTTCACTGCTAGCCACAGTCTGTAGGAGTTCTTAGAGAAAACCCTTTGCAGATGAACTGTGTGTGTGTTCTGCTGATTGAGGACTACTAAAACATTGAGGGAGCTCCCACTCTCTTGCCTTTTGAGACTTCCTAAACCATTTTTAGAACTTCTAAATGGCAAAAATCCAAGTATGACACATTCTAAAGGAAAAAGAAGCATACCCTTAAATAGAGACTTACGTTGCCCTTGAAGAGAATTTTCATCATCTAGAATTTTAAAGGAAAAATATGATAAATTAAAGATTTGCATTAATAGATTCCAAGTGTGCACTTATATAAGTCATGAAAATACAGATATAAAAAGAAAATGCCTAAGAGACTGCCAGGGAAATTAAGATATATATTATACACAAAACGCATGTATATGTGGTTTCAATACAATGAACGGTCATTTCCAAAGCAGAACCGTAGTCTCCATCAGGGACTGAAATTAAGAGGAAATCAAGCAACCAGTTGAATTCCTCCCTTTACAGTGCATCGCATGCTTACTGTTATGATTTCCTGAACAGATGCCACTTGAGAATCGAACCATCCATGGCCATGTGACTCACTTTGTATTAGCAAGACTTTACTACCCACGAAGCTTTTTCCCAGAAGACAAGCTTTTCAAACAATGATTGATTATTTCAGGAAATTATCCAAAACCCTTTTAATCAAACACAAGTCTGTTCAACTCTCTGAAGCCATAATTGTTTGTTATCCATGACTCCTTTCATAGATCCTCCATCATATCACAAATTATATATTTTATCCAATCTTAACAAAGACTTCATTTCAACAAGTGAACCTCAGAGCTGTTTTTGTTTTGTTTTGTTTTAATATCCAAAATTTGCCTCTTGATTTTACCCAGGAATTAAATTAAAGTGACACTTTCTTTCATCACATTAACAAGAACTCACTTTTATTCACCAATAGATTGTTTTGATGGTATCATGAGATACCTAAATTTTGCTAAACTTTTAATATACATTTTCACTCAAAGTTGCTCAGATTTCGGTAAACAATTTTTCTAATTGAACCCTTGCATTTTACTGAACTGCAATGCTTTGAATGGGAAGCAAGTGAACTTGGGAAGCAGTAGAACCAAATAATGAAACTTTCATTAAACATGAAGATTCAATAAAATTCTTAATATTTCTAAATGTTTGGGTGTTTGTTGGAAAGAAGACAAAATATCCAGGTAAATTACAACATTTTCACCATATTCACACAGATAGTGAGTGTGTAAAATCTATGTATGTTCAAATAGTAAACTTTATAATGTAAAGATGCTGTCTTAGGATATACACCCAGATTTTCAGACATGTATCTTTACCAACAGTGAAAAATGATACAAAAACTAATGTTGCCTTCCCTTTTGTTGGCCTATTCTCTGGGTATTAAATAATTTCTTATAAGAAGCAGCCCAACTGTACTTTTTTTCCATGAATTTCAGCCCCATTTCCCTCTTACCTTCATCAGCCCTCTGAGCTGAGGTCAGAGTCAGCAGGGCCATGGAGAGCAGAACCAGAAGCAACTTGGAGGCAGCCATGGTGTCTTTTTTCCTTGATGCTACACGAACTTCAGCACAGCCTTTATAAGACCCAAAGAAACAATGGCACCTTGAAGACCATGGGTTGGGCACTTCGCACCCATATCTAATTTGGTACCTGAACCTCAGCCAGACTATCTGGATTAGATTAAAGAACAGGTTGTGTTCTTCAAAGGAAACCAATAATTTCTTCAAGTTCCTTTAAACAATGGCTTATTCTCCTCATTTATTAATTCTAAGTGTTACTAATTGTCTTCCATGTTTAATATTCCACCTGTGCTTCTCTGTTTTGTTATAGGATCCAATACTGCCCTGACTTTCCACAGCGTCAGTGACTTCAAGATAGTTTCCTATAGAATGAGCCAAGAGAATTACAAGGAAAACATATTCTAAAAGCAAAACAAAAACACAATTACAAAAAGAAAACATGGGTCAAGAAAACCTAGGATACGTTTTCTTCCTTGGCTTAGAAAAAAATCAAGAATAGTTGCCAATAAGAGCAAACTCAATGAGTAAAGATTTCAAAGACAATATTTAATCAGAGTTGAGATCATGAATTTAATGTATTATCAAATCTTAACACAAAATAATCAGAATACTAACTGGATTGGAAAACAACTTCCTGTAAGGGTCATGAGTGAACTGAAGGTATTCAACTTGGAAAGAGAAGGTTACAAATAGGTACACCTATCATCCTTAGTGATATAGAACAAAGAACAATCTTGTGTGATTCCTTGTGGAAGGTGCAACTATCAATTAACAAAAGGAGGACATTTTTCTAGCTATGTAAAAATAATTCCACATAATTATTGCAATTGTCTTACACAATTTTAATCATTTTAAAAGTATCTTAATATTTTTAAATGTCTTGGAAGAGTATAAATAAATTTATTAAAATCAATGATACTTCAAATAATGAATATGAATTCTCCATTACAAAGACCTATGACCAGTTTCATGCATAGACCCACCTGATTGGTATCTTTATTGTTTATCTGACCATTATGACCTTCTTCCCTCTCAAGAATATATGCTCTCTCTTTGACATTTTCTCCTAAGAAAGAAGACATAGCTTCTCCATGATATCTGTAATATATATGCTTAAATATACAGTTTAATCTTTTTTCTTTTTTAGAATACATCATATTTTTTCTTTCATTTTACTTCTAAAGTGAATTTTTACTCCTATTCTTTTTTCATGTTTACATTCTACATAAAGCACTCAATAGATGATAGAACAATAAATAGACTGATCACAGAGATGAATTGGGTAGACAGATGATAGGTATAACTGGATAAGAAATGGAAATAGATAGATGATAGATAGGTAGGTAGATAGATATTGTAGATTATAAGCTGATAAGTAGGTAGGTGGGTAAATACATTATAATACATAAAATACACTTAATGTGCAACAAGATTTGCTCTGTTTATTGTGTGCAGGTACTATCTCACTTGGTCTTTACATGTTTAGCTTTTAAAATATTTAATGTATTTAATCTTATATATAAAGGAACTGGTTTGCATCTGTATTTACTCTTCAAATTTTTGTTCTTGAGAGTCGCAAGATGCCTCAGGGAATTAAAAGCCTCTCAGTCCCAGTGGTTGTGAGCTACCTGGTGTGGGAAACTAAACTCATATCCTCTGGAAAAGAAGCATGCATTCTTAAATTCTGAGCCTTCTCTTCCTGATGGCAAAACTAATTCCTATACCAGCCCTGTACAGTAGGACATCTTGTTGATAAACAGAAATGACTGGTTAAGACGATGGTGGTTAGAAATGTAGCAAATTTCATGCATTCCATTGACTCATCAGTGTCCCAACGTTGACCCTGTTGATGGCAGTCATTTCTGTCAGTTCTGCTATCACTTCTGTAGGGATCATTTCTGCAGTTGGCTGGTTGCCAAGTGTAATGTAGAGCTTCATACCAGCTGTTTCTATGACTATGTGTGAGAGAATATGATTTGTAGCCATGGATTTTTATTTCATAGAACAGAAACTACACTAGCTTTTCTGAGTTAGACATGTAAGAGGCAGATTCATGGATTACTGTGGAAAAAGTTTAATAGTCCCTCACTAGCCAATGATTAGCCTTGATTTCAGAATTCTGGAATTATGACTTCAAAATGGTTTCTGAATTGAGCTCAGTTAGCCTCCTGTGAAGAAAGAGGGACAAGGGTAGATGGTTAGATGCAACTTACAGAGTCATAACAGGCCTTTTCCCTCTGTGTCACAATGGCAGGAAAAGACAAAAAAGAACAGAAACAGACAGATCAACCCAGTAACAGAAACTCGGCCTACAATCTCAGTGCTGAGGTGCAGAGACAGGCTGATTGGAAGTTCAAGAGCAGCCTGAGCTGTCTGATGAGGCTCTGTCTCAGAAAACAAAACCAGAGTGAAAGAGAATGGAGAGTGGGCCATCCTCCCTCAAGGAACTGTTCTTCCGGCTAACAACAAGAACACGGGAACTTATTGCTCATTCATTACACTCCTTGGGAATAGACTCAAAGTCACCCCTTCATCATAAAAGCTCCTATTTTAAGTAATCTGAACCATCAGTACAACAGAACATGATTACATCATCAAAAATAATTTAGCACATCCAAACTAAGTAGTTATTAACTAAAAACAAGCACTACCATTATCTCACGTACATATGAAAAAATTACCCATGCACCTATTTATCTCTGTATGGCTGTCCAGCTAGCTTCTTTCATTATCTTTCTATGAGTGTATTTACTTCATGGATAAATATACATCATATATATACATACATATATGCCCATATCAGACACTGGTGTTAGAAAATATGTGAAATTATAAACAAAATATTATTTATTGGTTTATTTTTGAAAGTGAGATTGTAGAGGTCGATCGAACTTTGTATTGTCCTTCTATATTGTTTAAATTTTTATAATGATGACATCTTACATCTTAAAACTGCCAATAAAAATGAAGACCTTGTCAGCATGCTCAGACTTGACACACTCGGTAGACCATGTTGCAATTTTCCTCAGCCTCAATTTCTTACTTCGTTCTTTGCTTCTTCCACCTTAGGTCTTAGCCTTTAGCAGTGACCTTGAGTCTGAAGCTTGCTCCAGTCAACAACTGGCACACTCCTTCCCATGATCCAATAATTAATATGTCACAAACCTTAATTCCATTTTCCTATGAAGACATGTCCTTCACTATAATTCCTTAATTACAGGTCTTCCTTCCAAGCATTATGCTTTCATCCAGAATTGTTTTGAATAACTGGAAGTTATAGCCTCGTTTCGGTTCTTATGCCTAACATTGAGAATGATGATATTTTTGTGATTAACTCTTCATGAGCCTGGTTTATACACTCAAGTATTGCATCTTTAGAGTCACTCAATTATTAACCTAACTTGAAAAACTTACAAAGCAGGTATGATTATCACACTGTTATAAGTAAGTATATTGAGATGTAATTCTTATTTGCATAAGAAGTTTTGGAGATGAGATTTTACTTGGTCCATTTATTACTTATTTTCTTTTTGTTTTATGCATATTGGTGTTTTGCCTGCGTGTGTGCCTGCACAAGCTCATGTAGTGCCATTAGAGGCCTAACCTTCCCACTAGATCTTCAGTGCCGCTGGATCCCTAGAACTGAAGTTACAGTTGGTTAGTCACCATATGGGTGCTGGGGACTGAATCTGGATCCTCTGCAGAAGCAACAAACAATTGTAACTTCTGAGCCATCTCTCCAACTTTTTGTGTGGTCCTTTTAATTTCGGCAAAATTTGTGAGTTTATACCCTACATTATGCCATGTGCCATTATTTGTTTATCCTTATTTTTTATGTTTAATTTTAATTTCAGTTATATTCTTGATTTGTTTGTGAATTTCTCACATGGACTAACAATTTTTGGTCATTGTTCTTGGAGCACAGAACATATAAACAATGGGATTTTTTTTCTTTGTTTTTGGTGTCTACTTTTGAATCCTCAATTTCTTCTAGTTTTTGAACTTGCTAAAAATATTTAGTAAGAAATGCCAATTTTCTGATGCTCAGGGCAAGCATCTAAACTTTAGATTCAAAAGTCAAATAGCAGTTCATAAGCACATAGCTTGATTGGAAGTGCAGGGACAATGGAAGGCAGCAAAAAGCAAAATACATTTGGTTCTCAAATAAAATGTTTATGTCAGGTCAGCAGTCAGTCCCCTTAGAGTCCTAAAAAATTTTTTAAATACATATTATTCCTAAATTTTATTTCTTAAAGATTTACTTTTCTATGTTTGTTTATCTCACATGAAATTTTCTTAATAATTTTTAAAACATATTATCGCCAAATTTTATTTCTTAAAGATTCACTCATCTATGTTTGCTTATCTGACATGAAATTTTATTAATAAATTAATTGAATATGAGTAGATTACATTCTCTATGAAAATATATTGAATGGCTGAATTAATTGATAAAAAGAAAAATGTTCTCACATAAAATGGCTACAAAAATAAACTAAACAAATTTAGATTTATGTCAACACCAAGTTTGGAAAGTAAGGAGTGGAAAGATGTATTCCATACAAATGGTGACCCAAAAGGACAAGTGACATGCTAAGTCATGAAACAAATCTTAACAAATCTGAGAAGAATGATTCCTTTTTATTAATTTTTTTATTTAGGTAAGAAACAATCTTGTTTCACATGTCAATCCCAGCTCCCTTTCCCTCCCCTCCTCCTCCACCCTCCCCACGAGGTCCCCCAGACCCCCACCCAGTCTCCACTCTGATCCACAGGGAGGATGAGGCCCTGCATAGTGGATCTCCAGTGACTCATTTCATCAAGGGCAGGGCCTAGGCCCTCCACAAAGAGTCCCAGCTGAGAGAGCATCCCATATTGTGGCATGGGCACTCAAAGTCTATTTGTATATCAGGGATAAATACTACCCAAGACCCCATAGATTACCTAGGCCTCCTCACTGACACCCACATTCAGGGAGTCTGGGTCAGTCCCATGCTTTCTACACAACCATCAATCCGGG